GCTGCACAGTAGTTCATCCGCTATTTCTTGGTCGCCAGTTTCAAGAAAGCTCTGATATAGTTCCTCGCTATTTTCCGACCAGCACATATTCTTTGCGATATCCTCTTGGTATGTGTTTTTTGGCTACACTTAGCACGGCACCAACAAATCTGTGGTAGTTTTTGATATTCGGTGTAATCCACCCTAGACATTTATCTAGATCCACAGAGAAGTCAGTCCAGTTGGCCTTTTTAAAATTCCATCTTGGACGTGGGATAGAACTAATTAAAGGGATTTGCGTCCCTACTTCTATTATTACTGGTCGATGTTGGCTGTGTGGGAAATCAGTTAGAACTCTTCGTGAAGCCCCTAAAGGTAAGTCTTTGTTGTCGGTCGAGACGAAGCATAGGTCGGGGTTGTATTCCCGCCTCCATGCCGCAGATCTGAAGGTTGGTCGATCTTTGGCATCAAACAAAAGGTATAGGCGTTCGTCTTCTGCCCATTTTATTAAAGCATTCCCATTTGCATCACTATTTTTGTACTTCCACTGTTCATGATGGCTATTGTAATCTCCAACATATACAGCAGGGTGAGGCTGTACTGGAATTGCTTGGACTGGCCAATAAGTAGCAGGTGGCTTGTAAATGTTGGACACGGTAATGCTAGCGATTTTTGTGACCACATTATAAATACAGTCATCAGTGGAAGTAGAGATTAGCGAAGCATTTTCAATATCTTCTTTGACATATGTAGCTGTGCCATAAGTTCGGTGGTAAGTTGCACCTAATAGTTCATATCCCGAAATTTTGCCCCTTTTTTGTAGTTGCTCCTCTGTTTCGCAGTGGGTTTCCTGTATAGCAACTAAGTCAATGTTGTCATCTTTTAATAGTTTTGATAAAAACTGGCTTTTAGCATAGCTTATGCCTTCTATGTTTATGTGGCAAATTCGAACTATAGGTCCGATTGGTCTAGTTGTGCGGTCCTCACAAGGGTCGTTTATTTTGTTTATCATCTTTCGTTGGAAGTGTTGTTTGGTCAGGAGATCCTAGGGATTGTCTGACTGCCAGTATGTGCTAGTTCATTTAGCATTACCCAGGGTGCACGTGTAGTATTCTACTACGGACGCGAACTAGCTCTACTAGATCTAAAAAAATTTCTTGGTTACGAAACCTTCGTGACTGATTCTAAATGACATCGATCGAAATATTCCATGGAGCAGTTTTGAAAGTGCAAATAGCCATGTTGATCGACAGCCTCTACAGGAGACACTGAATGTAAGAAGAAGAACAAGAAGAATAAAAAGAAGGCTTATTGCATTCGAAATTAAGATAAAAAATACAAAAAATAGATTATACGACAGGTAAATAGTCATCATTTTAAATATCTAATAAACCAAAATTTTGAGTTTGTCTTATTAAACTGTAATAATGTAAGTTGGAAAAATTTCTTCTCTTCTCTGTAATCCCGGCAGGGATAGATTTGCTTTAGGAATAGCAAACCTGCCCACGCAAGCTCATGTGATTTCTATAGCCTCCCATCCCCGGGAAAACCATTACCTAAACCAAAGTATTTTCATCTCAATCCATCCTTTTCTCCCATCAAATGCAAATCAATTTGCTAACACGCACTAGCGAAATGTGGCATTTTAATGACTTAAAACCCCAAGAGATATTTTCCGTAAGAGACGAACGGTCCTCAATCCTCGGTGATTACAACACCCCCAACCAAGGTATTGGTTGGAACAGAGGGTCCTAAGACTCTTAGAAAAGAATCAGGCTACTACAAAAGACAACAAATGCATATTACTTAAAATATAAAAACTCTTAACTTTTATATGGGTCCAGAAGATGATGGAACTAAAGGAAGAGCTAAAAACAGTAAAATGGGACATCATCGGCGTCTGCGAAATAAGGTGAAGAGAAGAAGACCAAATTACTCTTAAATCCGGACACCTATTTCATTATGGAGGAGAAAAAGACACTTCAAATGGTAGAGTAAGATTCATTATACATCAAAATGCACAAAATATAGTTAAAATTAACAGCATAAACTGGAAAATTGTATACTTTATCTTTAAATTATAAGCAATATATAGCATTTAGGTACTCCAGACATATTCTCCAACGATTACTTACTCGGATGAAGAAATTCTAGAAAATGGAATGTCGAGTGGAGACTAAGACAAGAGACACTACGAAGCAGAAGACGCCCACCAACCAGATGAACTGATGACATAAAGCTTGTTAGCAGTAACTGGTAGCAAGCTGCATAAGACAGAGAAAGATGGAAGAGCCGAGGGAGACCTATGTTTAGCAGTGGACGTGCATAGGTTGAGGATGATGGTAAATGTATTTTCAGAATAAGATTTTGATAGGTGTGCCATATCAAAATCTGATTATCCAGTCGACAACTCTGTGATGCAAAGGAGCCTACGACTCTGTGAATAGAAGAGAAATATTTAAAGCAATGAAAAAGCTAGGATTATTACTATCAGTTACTAAATTTAACAAAACTAACTTTCAAAAAAATTGAATGTACAATACGAATCCAGGTGGAACTGTTTGAACCTTTTAAAACAAATATCGGGCTGCGCCAGGGGGACCATCTCTCTGTATATGGTTAATAATTATGTCGCAAATTGCAACCATTGTTTCAATATACAATAAATGAGTGCAAATCTATATCTATGCAGATGATATCAATATTTTTGGAAGAACGACAAACGCTGTACGAGAGGCGTATGTAGCATTAAAAGAATCACCTACAAAAATGGGTTTAATGATTAACACCAACAAAACAAAGTATATTAAAATAAGCATGCAACCATAAATCCTACGACCAGTTGTTATAGAAAACGACGTCATCGAAGTAGTCAACGAATTTGTATGCCTGGGAGCGCTCATTAACACTGAAAATAATACCATAATACTACCGAAAAGATAAACCGCAGAATATCTAGTGGAATAGACTATAAGTCCATTGTGTTGTCGTTGTAATAAAGTACAAGTATGAATATATTCTTATATTACTTCATATACTCAATAACGTCAAGAAATTATGGGGACATTTTTTATAATAGTGCGCTTCACGGATATTTGGTGACAACTGGATGATAAGGGTATCTAAAAAGTGTGTAAGATGTGTATAAGTGTTTGTGTGTATGGATATGCTGCAACTTAATTGTTGAAATAAGAAATATATCAAGTCAAATATTTTAAACATAAAATAAAATAAAAAGTTAATATACAGCTATCACTCTTATACATTAAAGTTTATCTTAATGGTGCTGTCATGTTTTGTATAATGTAGTGGGATTAAGAAATTACTAATCACTTCTAATAATACAGATCATAAAAGAATACCGCACATTATTATTCTAATAATAATGTAGAAATTGGCAAAAATTTATTATTATTTATTGTAAAAGTAACTATATTTACTTACTAAGTTAAAGGAGTGCATTTAAACAAAATATTTTTATCCTCAAACTCAAAAGATATTTAGAAAAACCCCTATTTTTAATATCAAAGCCAACTGTTATTACAACTTTACTAAAAAACAACGCCTGAAACATTGTAGCAACTACAGACTTATAGATCTTATAATTTATTCCTACGTATAATTCACAATATAATTAGAAATAAATGTGAATAAGATTAAGATGAAACAATTAGGATGCAAATGTTGCGATAAATACAAAATTAAAATATCTAACCCTGTTTTGAGCCAGGAAGACAATAGAATACTTGAAAGAGATTATAAGCCTCACATCCTACTTCTTGATGTGCTTATCCGGTACGAATGTTGGCGATCATCATGGCAATCTTTATCTTAGCTGCAACAGCGCGGAATTCTGAGGTTCTTTAACCAAGATGTTCTTCTTCTTCCTGGACCTCGTTTTCCAAATATTTTTCCCTTGCAGGATAGCTTGAAGGAGAGCATATCTGGATTCATTTCGCAAAATATGTCCGAAGAACTGTAACTTTCGAGATTTAATAGTGGTCAGTACCTCTCGGTCCTTATTCATTCTTCTGAGGAACTCCTCATTTATGACTCGGTCTATCCACGGGATTTTAAGCATTCTCCGACATAGCCACATCTCAAATGCTTCCAGTTTTCTGCACATATCTTCGTTCAAGATCCACAATTAAACACCATAAAAAAGGACAGAGAAGACTTAGCATCGCAGCATTCTTACTTTTGGATCAAGAGAGAGGTTGTGACTCTTGTAGTGTGTCATTCTTTCTACAGAGGATTGTTTGACGCAGGGTTACCTTCTGTTATCCTTTTCTTGCTAATAATTATAAGCTATGTCTTCTTAACGTTTATATTGAGTCCATATTGTTGACTGCAATACGTGATTTTGTTCATAAGAACTTGTAGGTCTTCTAAGTTGTCCGCAAATACTATGGTGCCATCTGCATATCTGATGTTGTTTAGCCGGTAACCATTTAGTAGAATACCTTTTTTAGTTTCGTGCAAAGCTTCGATAAATATTCTTTCACAATACAGATTGAAGATTAGAGGAGACACGCATGATTTTGCCTTGCCTTGCCTAACTCCACGCATGATTTTCACATAGTCAGTGTGTTTACCTTCAACTCTGAGATTTGCTCTCTGATTCCAACAAAGATTTCTAATTATTTTTAATATTTAAGTATTCTCTCCGATATAACCACATCTCAAATGCTTCAAATTTTTCGCAAACATCTTCGTTCATAGTCCACCATTCTTACTTTTGTATCAAAAAAGAGGTTGTGACTCTTGAAGAAAGCCCCCATATTGAGTCCATATTGTTGACTGTAATACATGATTTTGTTCATAAGAACTTGTAGGTCTTCCAAGTTGTCCGCAAATACTATTGTGTCATCTGCATATCTGATGTTTAGCCGGTAACCATTTAGTAGAATATCTTTATCAGTTTCTTAGTGACTATAAATCAAACAAATCAAAGGGAACCTATAAGATATTTGTTCACCTTAAAGTTTGCATTAAATAAGTAATTTGTATTTTATTTTTAGATGTAAACAATATGCAAAAGAAATCTATCGGAATTATCCATTCGAAGCTTTAGCATCGATGTTCTTCTATCCTTGTCGAAACTGGGATGGTCGATGTCCGAGGATTCTTAGATGGAATGAATGCATGATACACGAAGATGGATGTTCATATGAAAGTGGCTGCAGTCGTTTCTGGAAGCATCCTAAAGCTTTTTTAAAAGGAAAGAGAGACATGCCTTATGGAGGTAAGTTAGCTTTTGGGCTAGGATTTGGTTCTGAATATTGTATGAAAGGTTATAGTTTTCCGTGGTACACAATTACAAATTACACATTTTAATAATACGGCTTTGATTATTCTATTTAATAAATATACTCCCAAGAAATAAAATACACTACGCTTATACACATGAGAATATAGAAGTAATAAACTATTTCTTCCATTAAGTTTTTTTGCAAGAACGTAAATATATAGACCAGCAAAATTTTGATAAATTTACCAATATTTCAAACTATTCAATGGATTTGTTCATTAATTCGCTCATGAATCGCACCAATTTATATTGTTACGGGGGTAAATTTTATGGAAATATCTTACTTTTCTTATATATACATGGGCGAAACATTCACAATAAAAATTATCCCGGTAAAAATTTACTTCTGATATTTAACATTGTTGCCGTTAGCTCTTAGTTCAATTTGTAGATGAGTCACATTTATTTGAAAATTATCCTAGTATGGTATAGTACAGTGAAAGCCAAATAAAGTTGCGTTCACGTCATCATTGTGAATATATGCAGCGTTGTCAGATGGTTTATAAAGTATGAAAATTAACAGAAAAGAACTTAAATAAACAAAAAAGGTGAAGATAGCAAATTTCACACTATATTGTTACACTTCTTGAAACTTAGCTTTATTCAACACCAACAATATAACAATAATTTTAACTAACTGACAACTATAAACTTCTACATTCAAAATACATATGTTCCCCAACTGTCAAAAACATCTGTCATATACATATGTTCTGACGTTCCAAACTTCACTAGACATTTCAAGAATTTTCGATGTCATCTTGAATGTTCTCGAACTACTTCTTCTTTTTCGTCAATGGACTTTTCTATGTGGGATAAATCTTTCGTAACAATATTAAATGGAATTTAAAAATGAGTGTTTTTTTTTTTCATTTATTTTTTTGTTAATTACATTCATGAATAGATTTCACAAAGTAAGTAATTTCACAATAAAAGTTGTAAAGTTATTACTAAGTTACCAAAAAATAAGTTACTCGTTTATTAGTGCAACGCTTTTTCTTTGGAGACTCGAACTGTTCACCTTTTTTCTACATTTGACATATGCATATATGCTGTTTACTGTTCTTACGCTGATTTTTAAAGCAGCAGCTACACGCTAAAATCATACAAATTTTTTTAAATTAAAGTAATGTTATTATATTCGCATATTACCTCTTGTACAGCGTTTAAGGGTAACAAAGAGCCATTATTAATCCTTTCTTCTTCAAAATAATTAACTAATGAAGCCACAAGTTCTTTGCATCGACTATTTAGCTGTTTGGGCATTTTGACAAGTAAATAAATGTTTTTCACAAGATAACCTCAAAAATCGACGATACCACGAGTACAAAAATCACAGACCACTGATTGAAAATTCAACAAACGACGCGGCAACATGACAATATTTCTGGTAGTGACTAATACTCCGTCAATAATTGGTGGTTTCTTTATGAACATTTCAACACAAAATTTTACAATGACGGACGTCTAAATCCCAAAAAGCTATATATACATAGCTGTATATTATACATTATTTTGTTAGAAAAGTTTTTTATTGATCGGGTTATTTTTAAAAGTGATTGTTTAGCAAACTAAAGTAACATACACTTTTCTATAGAAATGTAACCACACATACAATAGAATTACGACATTGGTGACGTGCACGCAACTTTATTTGGCTTTTAGTGTATATTAATTTACTGAATTTTCTGTAGACAAATTGACAACTAAACATAAAAAATTGGCTTAGTGACACAAAGCTGATTTGTGATTAAATATTGAGTTTATTTTAATGTAATTAATGGATTTGTAATTAAAAAATTAATCGAGTTGCCTGTTAGTTCCTGTGAAACATACCAGTACGTCGTCTACGTATCTCCACCAATATAAAAACAGTTTAAATACAGAGTGTTTTGAAATCTTTGTCTATAGGTGATCCATAAAAATATCTCATAGCAATGGGCTTAGAGGATTTCCCTGCAAATAACAGTGCAGGACTTATAATGCTATTTTTTCCTCTCAAAAGATTTTTAAAAATACTCAGGCTTTTGCACCTAAATGACAATCACAACATGCCGCCTCGTGGATACACAGCTTATGATAAACTGCATAAAGTGCGTTCACTCATTGAACACTACTCTACTACATTTTACCGATCGTTTAAATAAAAACAAAGCCGAAATGTTGCAGTAGACGAAAGCATGGTTGATTTTACAGGGCGTACCAGTCTAAAGCAATATATGTCCATGAAGCCGATTAGAGAGGAATAAAGATTTGGGCTTTGTCTTCTTCAGAAACTAGCTATTTATTTGAATTTGTAATATACCAAGGTAAAGAAGAAACGACGACAAATAATACTTTAGGAGAACATGTTCTTTTAAATTTAGTTAAAGCTTTCTTTGGTCAGGGATATTGTATTTATTTCGACAATTTCTATACCACTATATACCCCTTATGGAAAAATTAAAAGATAGATCTCTTTTTGGTTGTAGAATAATCATACAATCTAGAAAATATGTACCAAAAGACAAATTGAAAGAAGACAAAAAGCTGACGATTGGACAAATAGACTTTGCAGTGTCTGATGAGATATCTATCACCAAATGGAAAGATAGAGGGGTAAAAGCAGTTACTGTGTGTAGTAATATGTACAATGCTGCTAAAACTGGCCACATTATTCGCACAAATAAAAAAGGAGAGAGAGAAATTGTTAAGTGTCCAACTTCTATAGTTGATTACAACAAATATATGGACGCTGTTGACTGATTTGATCAAAGAATGCGGATTCTGCTCATAGGAAATTATAAGGCCAGAAAACAGCCAGGACTTACAACTATAAACAGAAATGATTTTGGGAATATTACGCACGTTCCAGTTAAAACAACCAAAAGGAGGTGTCAAGAATGTTCCAAACGGGAAATCCAGAAGCGTAGTAATTATAAGTGCCATATCTGTGATGCAACTTTATGTGTGAAGTGTTTTGGGTCATACCATAACACTTAAGAAATTTAAAATATATATTGTTTTATTTAGATGATGATTTGATTTAATACTGTATTTGCATAATAAATAATTTCGGTATACCATGTATACCAGAGAACTTTAATGATTTTTTTCCTTTAATGCTCCCCGGTACAATAGTTTACCACATTTTTACGAAAAAATCAGCCATCTAAACAATACAAAAATTTTTTTACTACTTAGTGTACATATTTTTGTGTAAAAATACGCTTTTTAATTCAGTTTAAACAAAGTAATCTCATTTTCTGTGCAATAAAATTTAAAATTTTAGCTTTATATTAAATCTTACTTCTCTTATAATTCTAGGTAAATATGTTCTTGGAATTGTACTGCTCAGCAGCAATTCCGTCTAAATTTTCAGCTGCAGTAAAAGATGTTGTTCCGTGTAATTTCTTTTATGTTAGGTGTAAAGTCGGGAAGCATGCTTAATAATAACGGTTTTTAATATTTTATTTTACACGCTTTCTCAAGCTATAATAGACGAGTTTTATTGCCCATTTTTCATTAAATTAAAATTGAATGGCATTTTTGAATTGAATGGTTTTATAAATTTCTTAAGTTGAAGTAGGATTTTAATAAAAGGAATTTATGTCTAAATATAGCATTTAATATTCATAAAAGATGCAGGAAAAAACTGAACTGTTTTTTTACATTTATTTTCTATTTCTTCATGATTTTAAAACCCTCAATTTTGAATAGGTATTGTCTAAAAGTTAAGAAGGCAGAAATTTTCACATTGAAAGACATAAAAAATATATTTACATTAGTATAAATTGAATACAGAGTAATGAGGTAGGTTATAGATACACGGTTAGGTTATCAAAACAAACAAAATTTTGCCGCTATTTTTCTAAAAACTTTTTCAGTTTTGAAAGCATATTAAAAATAATATTTTGCGTTCTAGTTTATTTCGGTTATTGCTTTTTTTCTTCTTCTTTTTTCTTATTGTATGTAGGCTTTAAAACCTGTTTCTTCTTGAATATTAGCCTCCTAAATTGTTTAAATTATCGCACCATATTTTTCTTGGTCTACAAATACTTCTTCGTCCATTTGGTGACTTATCTCGTGCTATCCGTCTCGTCCTGGTGACTTTCTATTTTTTAAGTGCATTTATCAGCAAAAAAACTGATTTCTATTTTGTGTCTTATTCAGGTACGTTATTGTGTTGATTGATATTGTGGCGATGAATATTTTCCTTCGCTTTAAACAGTTTCATCAGGTATCTTTTTCATTCGTTTGCTGGTATATTATTGTATTCCTTCAATTCTGCCATTTCTTTCCGTTGGTTTCTTATAAATCTCCATATTTATTTTTGTGTACCGTACAAGTCCTTAAGGATCCTCTCATAGACTTTACCCAGGATGCCCATTTCTTTATTGAGCATCCTAGGTAAAGTCTATGAGGGGATCCTCAAGGAGAGACTCGTAGAATTCCTAGATGCTCACCTAATTCCAGATTACCAATTCGGATTCAGGGCTGGTCACTCCACACAAAATGCATTGGTTGAATCAACAACCTTCATTTCACAATCAATTAACAAAAGGAGACACGTCATAGGCATATTCCTTGACGTGCAGAAGGCATTCGATTAGGTCTGGCATACAGGTCTGATTGAAAAACTCTACCTGGCTGGACTGCCCACACCTTTCGTTAAATTAATCAATTCCTATCTCTCCCATCGGACGGTTAGTATCAAAGTAGCTGACCATCTATCCACCCCCTTCACTCCACAAGCTGGAGTGCCACAGGGCTCAATACATGCTCCAGTATTATACACAGTATGCAACAGTGATATTCCCCGCCCACAGCAAGGATCGAAGTCCCTCCTACTCTTCGCTGATGATACGGCCATCCTCACTTTAGGCTCTCACAGAAAATGTGGACAACGGTCTGTTCTGTATTCGAACGGTCACAAGACTACCTCGAGAGAGTTGTTAGGTGGTGGAACAAATGGAGAGTGACCTTAAATCCCTTCAAAACGCAAGCAATTCTTTTCAAATCTTCTAATTGTCGTGACGTCCAGGGCCGGATATCACTTTTAGGAGGAGACCTCATCTCCTCCTAAACTCGGGTCTCTATTTGGGAGTTTGCTTTACAAGGACTCTTAACTGGAAGGCCGACGTTCAGGAAACCTTAGATAAGATGGGGGGAAATCTTCCAAAACTTTGTTGCACACCTACAAAACATTTGTCAGACCGATCATCGAGTACAAGGCATGCGTCCATATCTCTCTGAAAAGCCATCAACTTAACGCCATCATGGCTACTAAACGTAGAATACTCAGGTATTGCATGACGAGAGGAAGTATGTGCTAAGAACCATAGCTGGCTCGAATAACAGAGCTAAACGAACAGTTTAGACTCCTTGCAATCACAGAGGGCAAATACTCACCAGGCTTCCCACTAGAAAAGTTCCGTTTCCTCCAGCAAAACTTCTCCACAACACTGGACATGAACTTCCTGATGAGTATTTTGATATTCTAGAATCATTCCCCATCAAATATCGCAGATAAAGACTGTGCGCCAAAAACGCTGATAAAGAGCCGTTCCTACTGTATGGCTGGTAACCCTTGAAGTACCTAAACTGGCATGCTAGGCAATTCCCACTTCCTCTTGTGTGCTCCTATGTCGATCATACACACAAGATACCTTTTGCTTTCCCTTGTTCCTTAGTAGTCCACTACTTCTTAAAATCGGATATCATGTAATTGGCGTTTATTACACCCCCACTACTGAGACAAAAAAAGAAGTAACCCATTCCTTGAAGAGGCTCAGACCTAAACAAGGTTAAAACTCTAGTGCTATGTGCAAGTCGCTTTTCATCCTTTTTGTAAACGTTCCCAGTGTTCAGTTTTTGTTCTTCTTACCAACTGCTTTGTTTCATTTCGTATTCTTCTATAGTTGTCTCGGGATTCTTAGGTATTTGATGTTTTGCACTTCGCGTAGGCCCCTCGTTTCTCTTTACTTTTCTCCTTTATTTCTTTTTTGAACCATGATGTATGTTTGTTGTTTTCTTTTGTTTAGCATGACTTTGCGTGTTTCTAGAGCTTCTGTTGCCGCTTCTCTTATGTTGTTTTTAATGTTCTCCCAGCTCGCGTTGATATCTTCGATGTCGTCTATTTGTTTCAGTTCTATCTTCTGCGCTAGCCTCCTTTGGTACATTTCTCTTGTAGAGTCGGTCCACAGTGATTCTATATTGAATTTTTCCTCGGTGATTTCCTATAGAAAATTTGGTTTGGTGTTATTTTCATTCTTATCTTTGCTATACTAGTTTGTGTTCACTCCTTGCGTCTACTGAGTTTAAAGTTTGGATATCTAGAATTGGCTTTGGATGGAATGAAATTTGTCGAATTCAAAATTAAAACAAGTTAAACCCAACATAGAGATATATAATGTGTGACCTACGTCAAGAAGCCAAGAAATAATATTAACGCGCCTCAAATTCGGACACACTAGATTAAGGCATGATTACTTATCTAAAAAGTGCAAACCGCTGCGATGTGAAAAGTGTATTACGACACTAACAATAATGCACATACTATGTGAATGTCTCCTCTACAATCAACAACGTAGTAACAACAAGATACCAGGAACACTTCTAGAAGCTCTTGGTGCAGACTGTAACTTTAACAATACTGTGAATTTCTTAAAAGACATTAATAAGTATTACAATATTTAATAAACCAAATTGCAATGTAGTAATTGTACTTAACGTAATCCCTTATTTTTTTGCTAATGGTCAGTTGATCGATGCGATTTTCTAAATAAAAAAAAGTTTAACCATATGTTTATTTACGCACAGTTTTTATAATTTTCTCTGTATAAAATACGAATTCTAATTTCTAAGTAATAAATTTTGTTTCAGATATAAGACTAGTAGCCATTCCAGAAAAACTTCTCGACTTTATAAAATGCGTCCAATGCGAAAGTTATCTATCTTGTGAACCAGTCTATATCCGATCTGATGGAAAAAACATCTGCCATAGATGTATCCACTCTAACGGTGTCCCACCAGATTGTATTAGAAATTTGGGATACGAGATATTATCCAGCATTATAATATTTCCTTGTGTATTTAGAAATAGAGGTTGTCCCACGAGATTAAAGTTCGGTACAGATCTTTGGCACCATGAGGCTGAGTGTTCGTACAATCAGATGTTTAAGAAGAAAATGCCCGAAATGGAAATGGGTGTTTTTAAAAGTAATGTCTATGGTAAGTTATTTGAACCTATTTTAATATTGCTGTATCATTATAATTTAAAATATTTTATTTATTATTATTAATAAATTAAAAAAAACACTTCTATCTTCAGTAGGCACAAATTAAAAGTATCAACAATTATCTAATATAAACTACCTCAAGCCTCAACAATTAAATAAAAGTATACCACTTAAATAACATTCAATCAATTTCGCTTTATAAAAGTATTTTTCACTGCAGCCTTTTCGAAAATAAAAATTTCGGTTAAAATTTATTAAATCGAAAATACCATTTTACACAACTCGTATCGAAAGTGGCTAAAACGGGACCAATTTTTTTACTTTCGCGACGATTTTGGGTAGCTTATAACGTCTTTGACAATAACATCACAGAATAATAAACAATCAGAATGCCCACTCTCAGATGCCGCCTTTGAAGTTTTTCAGCACGTGCGCCATGTGTTAGAAGGAAAGAAAGGATGATTTGTGAGGTTATGTAATTGTTTATATTTATGTTTAATTATGTTATATTTATTAATTACTATTAAACTGGGAATAAGCCACAATTAAAGATAAAAATATTTATTGACGTTTCAATTTCCACTTCGGAAGTCGTTCTCAAAATACAAACAGTAAATTAAACAAATTTTGTTTTTTGTTACATAGTGAACAATTCTTCTAATAATTTAATTTTATCTGACTCATTTATATTGACAATTCAGACATACATTATGCATTTTAAAGTAGACGACTTTAAAATGATATTGCCAATATTGTTGAGTTGCGCTCCTGGGACGACTTTACTATAAGATAGTTCATTCGATTACATGAAATCAACTTTAACTTGAGAATATCCGTCAGAAAAAAATCATAGCATGTAATTCGTCTTTAAAAAGACAAACACATGACATGATGACAGTAAAATTCTCCTGTTAGTGATTCCATAGTAAATTATGAGGGAAAAACCAGGAAAAAAACCTCATAATACTATCCCGACATTGTAAGTATTTGTTCGTGAATTTAGTTTACCTTCAACAAACATCAAAATTCTGATTTTATATGTTACGTTATTTAAAAACATAAATGATGTATCCTCTATATGTTACTGACTTACTAATACTGGTATTTTCTTATTAATAACTTCCTCTTTCAATATTGGTAACCAGATTCCTACTACATTCTGCCGAGGAATTTGCGACACAATTGGCCTCATTTAGCATAATTAGAGCCGCTTCTTTGATTTTTCTTTTTTTACCATCCGTTTCTTTTAGGACTACATTTGAATTATTCCATTGAACCCTATGTTCATTATTCCATGCGTGTTTAGGAAATAAATTCAACATTTCAACAACATTCAAAACAACAAACACGTTGAGATCTATTTTGTCCAAAACCAAAGCTAGCAATGAACAAGAAAGGTCAAAGAATTGCATTTGTAAAATACCTTGTGAATGCGATCAGTTTTATTTAGGTGAATCATCAAGGCCATTAACTGTTAGAATAAGTGAACATCAATCTTATATTAAAAATAGGAAATTTGATAGATCTCAAATCTGTAAACACGCGTGGGGTAATGAACATAGGGTTCAATGGAATAATTCAAATGTAGTCCTAAAAGAAACGGATGGTAAAAAAACGAAAAATCAAAGAAGCGGCTCTAATTATGCTAAATGAGGCCAATTGTGTCGCAAATTCCTCGGCAGAATGTAGTAGGATCTATCATGTCATGTGTTTGTCTTTTTAAAGACGAATTACATGCTATGATTTTTTTCTGACGAATATTCTCAAGTTAAGGTTGATTTCATGTAATCGAATGAACTATCTTATAAGTAAAGTCGTCCCAGGAGCGCAACTCAACAATATTCGCAATATCATTTTAAAGTCGTCTACTTTAAAATGCATAATGTGTGTCTGAATTGTCAATATAAATGAGTCACATAAAATTAAATTATTAGAAGAATTTTTCACTATGTAACAAAAAACAAAATTTGTTTAATTTACTGTTTGTATTTTGAGAACGATTTCCGAAGTGGAAATTGAAACTTCAATAAACGTATTTTTATCTTTAATTGTGGCTTATTCCCAGTTTAACAATAATTAATTTACAATGCCACAAGAAAATAGCTTCAGAGTTATATTTATGTTATTATATTTAACAATGTTAACATAATTGTATAGTATGTCTATGATTGCCGTAAGTAAATTAAACCGGGTTAATTTTTCTATGCACATCACATAAACAACACTGGTTCCCTCTAAAACATGGCGGAACGTCTGCGCGAAGGAGATGCGCGTACTTAATTTTCCATGAAGAGTGGGCATTCTGATTGTTTATTATTCTGTGATAACATCAACTTTGTATTTTATTATGACAACGCTTGTCATTTAAGATTCTCGTGTTTTCGCTCAGTTTTTCGTTTTTCAATTTCAAGAAATGGAAATCAGCAGTGAAAGTGAAGCCGAAATAATTCCAGATGAGATTAGGGAAACAGCTAAAGCCGCTATTTATGAATTATTGTCGGTAAAGTCAAGAAAGAGTTGTGAATTGGTCTACGATTTATTTCAAACCATGTTCGTCATCTTCGGCTCTACAACCCTGGGTCGGTCTTGGCCTGTGTAAAAATTAGTCTCCATTCCCCCTATCTTTCGCCTTGGCTTTCCATTTTCTGACCCCTAGCTTCCTCAAGTCATCTTCGACTTAAGTTTTGATTCTAGATCTTGGCCTGCCTCTCCTTCAAAATATGTTAGTGATTAAAATTTCTTATTCTAAAGAGAACGTGGAAAGAACCTTTGTGGTTATTGAACAAAATAATGTTTTTATATTCAGAAAATATTTGTCATTCCGTTAAGCAAACACACCGCATCGTAGATTATTTGTATATTACAAAAATTGAAGGTGTACTGTACAACCTATTGGTATTCACACTTTTGGAAAAATCGCCTGCACTATTGCTGAATTTCTTAAATTACCACATCCCATAGAACACACCGGGCACTGTCTACAAAAGAGCTTACCCAGTTTACTGGCTGATAGTGGTGAGGTGGTACATGAAGAATGGACATATGGTGAGTGAAAACGTAAGAATTTCAAGAGGGCTTAGACAGGGCTATATTCTTTCGCCACTGCTATTCAACCTGTACACGGAACAAATATTTCTAGAGGCACTGGAAGAGTACAACGAGGGCATCAAGATCAATGGCGTACCAATAAGTAATTTTTAAAATGCAGATGATACTGTTATACTGGCCGATAACATCAAAGATTTGCAGAGAGTACATACAACTGGCAACGGATTTGGATTGAAGATTAATAGAAAGAAAACTAAATTTATGGTGATCAGTAAAAAGAACATTCAACATATCGACCTGAATATTGAAGCCGAACGTATTAAAAGAGTACACCGATTTAAATATCGGGGATATACAGTAATTAATAACTGGGACACAGACGTAGAGATTAAGATCCGAATTGAAATAGCAAGATCCAAATTCATCAAAATGAGAAAGCTCTTAAGCAACCGCAACCTAAGCGTTAACCTCCGATATCGCACCACGAAATGCTACGTACTCTCTACGCTACTTTACGGAGTAGAAGGGTGGAACACCAGCAACTATGTGCTATGTGTTCCGTAATGGTAAGTACAGTCTGCTACAGCTTATCGTGGAAGGCAAGATTCAAGGTAGAAGTGGTTTGGGCAGAAAGAAGAAATCCTGACTAAGAAACTTGAGAGAATGATTTTAAATACTAGAAGCTGCGAACATAATACATGCGGCACAAAACAGAGAAACCTATCGTTGGATGGTCGCCAACCTTCGGTAGAAGACGGCACATAAAGAAAGAAGAAGTGGTGGTACTATAATCAACTTGAAATAATACGGACGATGGAAATCAACTAATGTAGCAGAGGAATACGTAAAAAATTATTTCAGAATTAAAATTCACATAGCTTCACAAATTGAAAATGGATACAACCAAGTTAATATATTAAAAATAGTAATAATACTGACACGTCTAACACTAATTTCAATACTGCCACTTCTGCCACTGAGAGAATAATATAAAAAGACCTCAACACAGCTATTTCGTATAGCAACCAATAAAGTCATCATAGCCAGAATGATCGCCAACGTTCGGAACGGATAGGCACTTTCAGAAGAAGAGAGACATATGATATTCAAGACGTAGTACGATGGACAAGAAACAGAAGAAGAGAATGGAAAGCCATGTTAACAGAAAATTAGATGATATCATCATCATCCAGCCCTTTGCGTCCACTGCTAGACATAGGCCTCCCTCATTTTTGTCCATTGTGCTCTGTTTTGGGCACTTTTTATCCAATTTATTGACATATTTTTAAGATCGATGATAGGTTAGCCAATATTTCCAAATAAAAACCTTAACAGGGGTTTTTCTGTCTCTGGATCCTGGACCACCGCCTACGAGATCATTTTACTACATCTTTTATTGACAGATATTCTTTTAATCTTTTACTTTTCATTTAATGGCTTCATTTTGCTAGATATTTTTTATGTAGATTTAAATTTAAACCTGCTTAAAATAAATATATGATGACCAGAAACGAATTGATCGAAAGTAGTGAATCGATGTGAAGAACCGCTGTTTCATGACGCTGGTTCCGTGATGCACGGCTTAGCATTTTACTATAGAGAAAAAAGAAACACAACGCCAGTATAGAAGCTTATCTTCAACAATAACGATCTCATTTTTTAGAACATCTTTTATGTGTATCAGGAACAGAAAATATCCTGAAGAAAATCATCTTATTTTAGATAAAGCTTCTGAATCAATGTTAAAGTTATATTTTCCATTAACCTTATATTTTTACTTCTATTATAATTATACTTTATTGTAATTTTTCTAGGTGAGTTGTCAGATTTTGAATTAAAAAAGAAGTTAGTACAGTCATTAAAAAACAAGCAAGAAAAAAAGCTCAAAAAAGCCGAAGAAATTGAAGCAGCCATAACAAGGATGAGTTCAGAGGATGGTTCGGATCGAGATTCTGATAAAGCTAATTCTTATGACAAACATTTGTCCGAAGGATCAAGTTCACCATCACCAACAAGGTAATTTTTTTTTACATATTGTTATTGGAAAATTTACATATTGTTTTGTTTTCACAAAAGTATATCAGAACTGCATGAGTAGACATTTGTATTAAAATCCACAAGGAAAACAATTCCTGTAGCTGGCTGTATACCGCGTATCACAAAAAAGAGGTTAGTCTTCGTAAGTGGGTATATTTATTTAAAAACCCTTAAAAGGGCTACATCAAAAAAACAAACGTTTTCGGACTAAACAGTCCATCATCAGGTTTAAAATCGCTAGGTTAAAATGCCTGAGCCACCAAAAATACATGGGTAAAAACCCTTTAAATTACATACAGTTATAAAAGATTATACATCTTGTTGTTAAAAAACTGTGATGTTTAGTAATAAATTAAATATGACTTCAAGTAACATACATTGCAAAAATTGAGTTCCAGAGCCGGGAGAAAACCTCTACGCACGGAGAACAGCTGGAAACTTAATTTATTACTGAACATCACAGTTTTTTAACAACAAGATGTAGAATCTTTTATAACTATATGTAATTTAAAGGGTTTTTACCCATGTATTTTTGGTGGCTCAGGCATTTTAACCTAGCGATTTTAAACCTGATGATGGACTGTTTAGTCCGAAAACGTTTGTTTTTTTGATGTAGCCCTTTTAAGGGTTTTTAAATAAATATACCCACTTACGAAGACTAATCTTACATTTGTATTATTTTTTTTGCATTTATTATTTTGCATCTATATACTATCCATAAGGCGTCGGTACAAAAAATTATGCTTAAAGCGCTTGAAGGAAACTAAATGACTAAAAGATGTCATTCGAACAGGTGGACTAAAAACTACTATAAATTTTCCTCATTAACTTCCATAACTGCTTTAGCAGGCCTACTGCTTCTAGCTTATTGACGGTTTTAAAGTCTTAAGGGAATAAAGAGCGCTTACAGGGGATCTAGAGGGTATTAAATATAGAGGGTCTAAATGGGATCAATGGTAAACGATTCCATATTCCATAAAAATAAATACACCTCTTTTTTTGGTAAAGCAATAAATTTTCTATATCAATTTCAATGGGTATTCAAAATAAAAGTTCCCTTACCACAGTGTCTCTTAGTTTTGTTATGCTTCCAGACATCAATATCATATTTTAAACTTAGTAAAACAATTTTACTTTTATAGTTGAAAGTATTCATTTAGGTCTATTTGTTAAAGAAAATGTTTCTTCATAACTATATCACACACCGATATCGAGTTTATTTCAAACCCTATTTCCCGTACTGTGTATAATAATAAATAGAGGAGTAGGCACTTATATATAAATTTCATCCAAAAAATAGACTTACAATTTATTTTATGATACTGTTACAATATTGGTATTTTAGATGTTGACCTTTATTTCAAAGTTCTCTCTGCGTATGGCCTTTGATATTTTCATATACGTTTGAAACTCTCCTACTAAATATTTATTGGAAATTATGGATAACATGTATTTCATTATATCATGTAAACACATAAACTACAAAAATCTCGACCGATTCATAATTATATTAAAGGAAATCCCGGAGGCATAGATTGCCAAGCATACGAGTATAACCAAATAAAAGATAATTTTGAAAAAAAAAATTTAGTAAAAATAGGAAATTTACCTTTGTTAATTTCATCTCAACATTAACCTTTATCAATTATGATAAATATTTCAGAAATAAGTTGATAATATAATTAATTTATACTGCGTATAATATTTTTAGCTGGAAGCCGACTTTATAAGGTTCGATTCTTCCAGCATGGACATAATTTTATGTGCCCTTGATTCGTTAAATTTTTTATGTCGACTATTATTGCTAGTACGACCGAAACTGGTCGAGTCAAGTTGATTTGATATCTTATTTTCACCTTCTACAACAAAAATAATTTTATGTAAACAATATGTTTTGTGCCCAGTGTTGCGAAATTGCAACACAAATAATTGGGCATGTGTACCAACTAGCACAGATAAAATAATAGCACTTATTTGATAGATATATCTTTTTCAATGATTTAACAATACGTTGCTACCAACAACCAAATTTTACTACTTACTACTACCTAAAAACACGTGTTCACAGAAGGCACAATTAACCTACAACTTTTAATATCCTATCTGTTAATAGAAACCTAAGTTACATGTCTATCTATCTATCTAATTAACCTTCTTTGGTCAATCTTTGGACATAGGCCTCCCCAATCTTTTTCCATTCTTCTCTGTCTGTCGCTACAGTCATCCACCTAGAGCCCACGTGTTTCTTGATATCATGTGCCCATCTCATTTGGGGCCTTCCTCTGCTTCGTTTATATTCCCACAGTCTCCAACTTATAAGAATTTTGTTCCATCGGTCTTCTTTTTGTCTTATATTGTGTCCAGCACATCTCCATTTCAATTTTGCAACTTCTTGTCTAACATCCCTCACTTTTGTTTTCTCTCTTATCCACCCGTTTCTCATTTTATCGATTAGTGTTATGTGCAACATTTGTCTTTCCATTGCTCTTTGGGATTTTATGCTTTTGTCCATGTGTGAACCATAAGTAAGAACAGGGATTACGCATATACTTTGGTCATAAGATGCTGTCAATATCTTTTGTTTTTAAGAATGTAGCTTAGTTTGCCAAATGCCGCCTATGCCAGTCTTTTTATCTCTGCTGTTTGGTTTTCTTTCTTAATAAGATTTATAGTTTTACCCAGATATATATATATATATATATATATATATATATATATATATATATATATGTATATATATATGTATATATATATATATATATATATATATATATATAATATATATATGTATATATATATATATATATATATACTTCTAGCGGTTAAATGTAGGCTCCGTCCTAAAACGGTATTATACTAACTCCAGTAGAATATACACCGTGTATATTATTATCTAAGTAGCGCATTATGTAAACTCCGACCAACATGTAGGATCAAGTGGACTCCGTAACTGGATAAAATACTTTTGGGATCGGTATATAGTTTTTAGCGTACACAACTAAGCCCCTGCGATGTTGTCAATAATTGTATTAGTCGTAGATTTTCAAATTTTATAGCAGGTACATTTTGGGAACTTAAAATTTATTTAAATATCCACCAGTTTAGTTATCGAGGAATTTCAGGAATATTTGGCTAATGTATATAAATATGTTATAATATAAATTGTTACCATTATAATAATTTTATTTTATTTTTATATATAATAAGCACGGTGATAATTTATATTACTTGCTCTAATTATTTTCAAACTTAAGTAAGTGTCTATTATAAACTTATTAATGCTAATAAAGCATTATTCTATAGCATTTTAATATTTTAGCTATTGATTAAATTCGAATAGCGGTTTGATATCCCTTTACTTTCTTGAAAAAGTTATATTCTAACACACAAGATCTTATTAAATTGCCAAAACTTTCCTTTCATATTCCATTCACTTATAATGGGCAGCACTAACATCAGTACGATGCTACACATACAATGCGTAGCTATAATCCTGGGCTGGCTAATAGAAAGCATAAGTGTAGCAGTTTTATTGGTTTCGAAACTGCTACTTGGGTTGGGGAAGCAGGATATCAGCATTAAGTTAATGCATATAGAAATTGTTGCTTGACCGGCGAAATATCAAATACCAGAGAGCACGACGGTAGCAGTCTGAGAAAGCGAAGCAAAACAACTTTATTATTATTAGACAATATCATATTTCCTAATAAAATAATATTGACTTTACAACGAGACAAATTTTCTACTGTTGGACATCGAAACATGCAAATACATAGCAACGGGTTTCCTACGTCGGTATCCCGAAAAATTGTTGTAATAATGATACGGGAAACAAAAAACTTAAGATGGAAATGGGCGCCAAAAAAATCTGTGTTAATAAACAGTAGAATAAAATATAGATTCTCAATTCAAATAGTCAAAAAATTAAAGAACAGCTTAATAAGATAGAAATAGCACCTATTTACGATGAAATCCAATAACGGCCCAAGGTACAAAGAGCTCCTAGTTATGCTGATGGTTAGATCTAGAGCATAAATTTAACAATAGAACCATATAATTTTAAAAGATTGGAGCAATTTAGATATCGCTGATAACGTTGTCGTATAAAAGATAAAAGGGAAAATGCATGTAGCAAACCATAGACATAATATAATACAAATAGACTGACAGCTGCCATACAGTCGCGTTTCCGCAATACGACAGAGAAAACTGAAGAAAAGCAATCCCTGCATATTTTTCTAATGGGACGGGGTTATTGACCACGTGACCTTCTCATTGGTCATAGGTCACGCGTTTGATAAACCTGACAAATTAGAAAGAGATGCAGGGACTTTCGTCAGTTTTCTCTGTTGCACTGGGGGAACGGATCTGTATTGCAACAGTTAGTCTATTTGTATTGTATGTCCATGTATCAAACTGATATCACTATTAAATCTACAAAAAGAAAAAATTACAATATAAACAAAATTTGTTTAACACGCGCCTAGAAAAGAACTAAAAAAAAAAGAATTTGGAGATAGAAACGTCAACTACATGTGTAGTATAAAAATCAAATTTATTCTTTTAACCAAAATGTTCACACCAAGTTTGATTGTATTAAAATATTCGGTAGCTCCAACTACCTGTACTCTATAGTGTTCAGTAATCCATCTCAATATGTCCAACTTTATTTTTTTTTAAATTTTTTTGGATAAAATACAAGAAATATGACACAATATTTATTATTACATATTTTATTGGGCGTTTCGATGTTCAAATATGAGTTAGTTCTCAAAAATGTACAATATTATTTTTACAAGGTATTGCGTAGATACGTACAAGATGTTATTTATGTTTTTACTTTATCTGGCTTGTTATATTATAATCCATTAGTTCTCGGTTATTTCGCACTCTGTATTAATTTGTAATATTATCCCTAACATGTTCATATATTTCTCTACTAATATTCTTCTTTCTGCGACGTTCAATCGGCTGTTATT